CATTCCAGGGTCTTTCCTTCTCCTCAAAACAGCACAGTGGGATATATGGTTATCCTAGCTTAGCCCTCGTGACTTCCTGGAATAGGAGAGTGGGCTGGTCCACGGTCATGGTATTGTCGTGTTCTCACAGTCTGTTATTTCCACACTGTGCTGTAGTTCCCCTTGTGTAAGGGGATCATGGTGAATTTTGGAATCTAGAAGAGCGTTGTGACAAAGCATTGTTTGGCCTATTACTTTGCAACAGGCATTTGATGTGGACCAGTTACAGGCAGAAATGTGGCCTTTGCTCTGACCAGGTACAGCTGGGGCTGCTATCATTGTCCTAGTTACACTCCTAGTGCTCTTGCAGACAGGATTTTACATTGGAGGAATTGAAGCTCAGAAAGATCAAAGTACTGCTTCCTGAGTACTCCTAGTTTCTGCTCCAGTTTCTTCTTCAGTCTGGTGCAGTAACCCTTATCAGATCTGCCTTTCCATGAGCTACGAGTGGCATGGACCTTGCGTTGAGAGTGTGTATATGTGAACAGACTGTAAGAGGTCCAGGGTGGTTACTGTGCTGCTGAAGCACTCACAGGCAGAGGATTTCACTGCAGCATGGAAGTGTTGCCCAGATGTCATTATCAGCTGCACTGTGGTGACATGTGGATGGGGATCCTCCTAAGGGGCTTGTGAGCTGAAACACTGAGAGGAGAACACTGAATATACTGTTGGTACAGTGGAAACTTGCAGAGGGAATGGGAAAATCACTGTTCTTCCTGTTGTGCCTTGAGAGCTAGAGAGTAGAAAGTGAGAGGATTTTAGCAGAGTACAGGATCCTGTTAATTGATGTTACACTGCAGTTGAGGAGCCCTCATATCTCTTTTTCTACCTTGCTCCTTTGTTGATGGCCATTATATGCACCATTAGAAGATTTTTGACCTGTAAGTGCAGCAGATGTGATAACAGAGGCCTCCATACTGTGCTCAACCCATCCAAGCTCTCACTGATGTGTGTCTTAGGGCTGTTCTCTTCTGCTCTGTTGTGCAATAGCACATCAGAGCCTTCTGATGTTCTTGGCAGAGTCTGTGCTACGTTCTGACTTGCCCAAGGGATGTGGTGCTACTCCTTTTTTTTCCCCTTTTCTCTGCTTAACCTACCTCCACGCTCCTGTGATCCAAACAGTGAACACTGGGACACTAAACAGAACAAAAACTTTGTGTGAATCCCAAATGTGCCGGGGCTGAATATATTTCTGTTTGAAACAAGGTGCAGAGGGAGAGAGCTAAGTCTGCTATGAGAGGAGAAATAAGGGAAGGAGGGTGTGAAGGGCATCTATCCAGAACAGGAATTACCTCCTTCCTGGTAGAACTGTAGAAGAGATTCTGGCTGCCCACAGTCTTCTTACAGAGGATTGGCTTGAAGAAGGACAGCAAATAACTGAGCAGGGGGGTGCTGTTGCTCCTCAGCTGACAGACCAGCCACAAGAGCTGATAAGGGAAAGTGCCTGTCCTCAAAAGCTGTTTGGTGGAGGAGCTAAGACCCTCTTTCACTGCAGTCATTTCAGTTTAAAAAGCAAGGAGGGTATCAGTAGAAGCTGGTGACGTCACTTTTCATCCTTTGGCTGTGATAATCTTTGGGAGAGAAAATTGCCTAAAAAAACGACCTGTATGTTTTACACCACTTTCACCTACAGCCAATCGTATGACTTCATGTACAAGTTAAGTGTCCACTCAACGCACTTTTCCACTTGGTTTTGAGGCTGCAAATGGAGGTGTTCAAGGCCGTGTTCTCTTGCTGATTTAAGAAGCATAGCCAGTGTGCTCAGCTCAGGTTATAAAATGAGAAGCATGCATGGAAATACTGATGGCTGCTGGTTTTGTTTAGTTACAGCCTCCTGCTTTTGTTGCTAAAGTTCTAGTGACACTATTGTACTGTGAAATTATGGATGTTGCAAGACTCACCGTAGTGGGTGTATTGTGTCCTGATAGGGGATGCCAAAGACAGGTGTCTTCAGAAGAAAAAGTCTCTAGACCCTGTTGCAAAAATGGTGCCCTTTTCCAGTTAACATTGAAATAGCTCGCATGCCCAAATCATCTGTCACTGCTAAATTCTAGAGCACAAACTGGGACAATGTGGTGGAGCCCAAGCAAGGGCCAAAGTTCTGCCTGGCTGCACAGCTGAGGGATCGAACGGCTCCTCCCATGGGGAAAAACACGGATAATTTCCCGGCGAGTGTGAGAGGACAGCCTGCAGATGGGACGTGAGAGGCAAACGGTTGATTGCAGCAGGGAAAAAGCGACACATGTGGTTTGGCTTCAGGTTGCTCAGGAGTAGTAGCAGCAGTGCTCATTGGTGCTCAGGGCAGAAAAGTGTTCAGCTGGTTGGAGCTTTGCTCTGGAGGTTTATTTTGTGTGTGTAGTTGTCACTGAAGGGCACTGGGTGTATGAAGCTGGATCTAACAATTGTTAATGCTGAAAACTCCAGGGCTCTGCCTTACAAGCAAACTATAGAGACGCAGATAGGGTAATTTTCAACAGTATTCTTGTTCCTTAGAGCCACCTGAGTAGAGGCTGGTGCCTTCAAGTGTTGTCACCAAGTTAGAGCAGTGCAATGTTTCAGGATGGTATCTGAGAAATGCTACAGTGGGCAGTTGTAGTGTACTTGTCCTTGTCAGTTGGTGAGTTCTCATGCTCTAGACAAACAATGGTTATACTCATTCTTTTAAAAAAAATAGCATCTCCCCACCACAGGTAGCTTTCACGTTCACTCTGTTTGGATGTTCAGTGGTTTCTCACTGTGCTGTGCGACCTCCCACTGGCAGAGACCTTTCAGCAGGGTTTTGGTTGCAGAATAAGAGGCAATGAGATGAACAAGAGGTTTCATGTCACTTTTCATAGGAAATCCAGAGCTCTGCTACTCTGCTTTCAGAAGCCCCAGCTCCTAGCAATTGAACAGCAGCACCTGGTCACGAGATGTGGCTGTGTGGACTTGCATAGCTGGGAAAGAGGTGAAGCCATGCTTATGACTATTAAATAGAGAGATGGCCTATAAGCTGCCATGACAGAGATGCAGAGCAGCTGTCTTTAGTCCACTGACTGCAGGAGACTCTACTTTTTTTGCTGTGGAGGCTTGGTTACCTTGGCAACCTGTTTTTAGCTGGATCTCTGCTCCGGTGGAGAGCCCATCTGTACCTGCTACTTCTTTGTTTTGAAACGGCTGTTTTACAGAAAAATATCTGACAGGAGTATTTTCAGAGCTGGATTATTGTGGAATCCAGGCTCTACTTTTGGTCCCAAGAGTTTCAGTCTGATGATGAGGTGATGGCAGAATGGGGAGTTCTGTGGCTGGATTGAAAAGGCATTAATGTATTTGCTTCATGAGGTGGGCTGTTGTCATGGAAGGGAGAGATGTTACTGCTGATTGTTAAATCCTGGAATGGCTCTGAAAGATAAATCACTTTTAGAGTTTGCAGAGGGCTTTGTTCATTCTCATTTGCAGTTCAGCATCAAGACACCGGCTGGTAGATGAAACTGAAGCAGCTTCTGTCTGCCGTGAGTGACCCACACTAGGGTTGTAGGCTTCCCTTCTGGGGGTCACATATAAACATTTTATACTCCTGGTGAACTTGAGTATTGGAAGGTAGTGGTTGTGAGACTGTGTTTGGAATCTGACAATTTTGTTTAATCCCAGATCTTACCAGTGTCTTCACATCTGTCTTTTTACTGTAGGTTTTTTTGGTTTTAATTTTGTGAATACTTTGTAATCCTGAAAAGGATGGGGGGAAGGGATATCTATATATTCCCCTTACTTCATTCCTGTACCCTGTGCTTTATCTCCTATTTCATAGCCCATGCCTGTGGACTGAGCTGAATGGTCTGACCTGTGGTTGCTATGGGGCTCTTCAAGACTGGAGTTGATTTTTCTTGCAGTTGGTTACTGGGTAGTGCATAACACTTGTGTAATGGGGGGGGGAAGAACAAATTAACAAATTCTAGTTGTACCTATAAGAAATTGGAGTAATGCCTACTCTGTTAGATGCAGTTACCAATTAGCAGGTAATTAAGAACCTTTTTAAAAGTCTGTATATAGTTCCAGCTTGACTTTGTAGGCCATATAATTTAGAAGTTTTGTCTAAATCTGCTGACTTCAGAGCAGAGACTATATCAAGAATCTGTTCTAAGCAGACATCGGCTTTCAGTCCTGAGCAGCTATAATGCAGAAGAAAATAGCTTTCTCTTTTGACAATTTCAAGAACTAGAAAAAACAAGATAACGAACTTCCCATTTTATTAAAGTGTATGGAATACAATTGTTCGCTGTAAAGCCTGCTTAGTTAAAGCTCTTTTAGCCAACTTTTTCGTTAATTCCCACTATCACTAACCGATTTTGGGTGGTTACAGCAGGAACTTTTGTTGTTGTTGTTTTCCTTTTTTTTTTTAAGAACATGTGTGAACCAGTTCTGTAGTCTTTTCCTCCACAGCCCTAGATAACTGACACAATAAAGTACTATATCCTTTCCTGTGCCATTGCAGCAGCATTTTCACAGAGATACCGAAAATCTATGCTGTGGGTTGTTACCTTTTTTTAACTGCATGTATCAACAAGAGTGACAGTTTGGGGCTGACTATGCACACATCATGTTGGTGATGTATGAAGCAGAAATGAGACAGTTGGATTCTCTAACCCCAAAGCTCACTTCAGGATCTGGCAGATGGAAAAATCTCCTGTGAACTGACTAAGCTAGCAAGAGACTTACCTTGAGCCTGAGCAGCTGTGATTGGGAAGGCAGTGAAGGAGAATAAATATGGGACAGTAAATAGCTGTCACTTATCTGTCCAGCACAGTATTTTAGCCACAAAATAACCCAGCCCCACATGTAAATTGATATATTTCTGAGAGGTGAGCATCTGGTATTTAGGTCAGTTTATACTAGATCATGAAAATGCGTATGTATTTAAGTAACTTGTTGAGAATGGCTTTGCTTTCAGTTTTATTTTAAAAATACCCATAATTTACTCCTAGCTTTGATCAACTTGTTGAAGTTCCTTATGTCTAATGAGACTGTGTTGCTGGCCAAGCACAACATCTTCACCCTTGCTCTTATGGTGAGTACAGACAAAGAAAATCCTCTTAATTTAAACAACTTAATCTTGAATGAATCTTATTAAAGAATCCAGGATTTTGGGGCTGGTAAGGAGATATCAGAACAAGACCACAAAGCAGATGAATGTCATTATGCTTGATTTTGCCAGAAGTTTGGAAGGGACAGTGCTTGGTCTCACTGTAGGATCTGCTTGTTGAAAGAAACAAGTGTATGTGAGGAAAGGCTTGGTTTAATTTTCCAGGTTTGGTACTGTTTCATCTTCTTCTGTGGCTCTTTGTATACAAAATAATAGAAACCTGTTTTTCTGGCCCCAGATACGACTATTAAATTCTTGTCTGCCTCTTCTGTACCATAAGGAAAATAATAGATAAAGCAATGAAGTAATGTAATACTGTGTAATTCAACTGAGAGCTATATGAAGGTTTTGGACGTAGTTTGTACTGTTTCTGTTGCAGAATAGATTTTGTGTAAATATTCTTCTTGTAACTTCTTTTAACTTCCATGTCTAGGTCGTGAACCTGTTCAACATGTTCATTACTTATGGAGACACCTTTCTCCCCACTCCCAGCAGCTATGATGAGCTGTATTATGAAATCATTCGGATGCATCAGAATTTTGATAACCTTTATTCTATGGGTGAGTACTTCCTGACTGCTCAGGACTACTGTTGATTGGTATTGAGGGTGGAGGGATGTTTGTTTCAGATATTTTCTATCCACCTGCTATTGATGTGTGTCTTGGTGAGTGTTTTGTGTATTAGGACGTGTTTGGTAAATTAAAAATTGAGAGAAGGATAAACCCTGCTAAAAGGAATTCTTTTTCTTGTTAGAAAAAAAAACCCAGGAACAGACCCATTGCCTCTTTAGCAGCTACTTACTGTGGGTGGAAATACAAATTTGTTGGCACAACTGATTATGTTGTATCTCTTGGATCTTCACCTAGTTGCATCTGTTACATTGGAGACTTTCAAGTTAGAAGGCAGGTATATGCTGCAGAGTCAGCCAGCACAGAGAGACACTCAGTGCAAACAAGAATTTGGAAAAGAATTTGAGAAACTTATAAAAAACAGCTTACTGTGCTAGACAAATCACATCCACTACACTCACTGCCAAAACAAACCAAGAAAACAGACCTCACAAACCTGCTTGCAATGACAAGTGAGTCACTGGGCTGAAGAATGTGCCTGCTGGCAAAACAGGGAGAAGCTGCCATCCTTCAATTGGAGACAGGCTGGAATGCCACCAAGTGGCACCCGGCTGGGAAAGAGGAACAAAGGAGGGCAAGGAATGCATGGAGGCATCATCAGGCAGTGGATACATGGGAGCCTGTAGCCAAGGGTGGCTGCAGCAGCACTGGTGTAGTGTCTGTATGCTTGAAGTTATGACGAAAAGAAGTTGTTCTTTGTTTGCTTTGTTGTAGAAGAACCTTTTATCTCTTCAACCCCTTCTCCTTTCTTGTCATGATCACCCAACGAACAACAGGAGTTTAAGCATGTGAGAGGAGTTAAAGGGCAGTAGGAGACAGATAGATGGCCACAGCACTCTTCTGATGTGGAGAGAACCATCCTCACCTAAATAAAAGTAGCTGAATACTCCCTGCAACTGCAAGAAAAAATGAACTGCCCTTTTGTACAAACTTCCTACAGTTTTCATCCATTATGTAAGGACCATTTTTGTGCCCTCTGAGAACAAAAGATTTTTTGCTAACCCATTTCCTACTGCCAGGAATCGCAGCTAGGAAGATGAGGTGCTTTTACTAGCAAGTAGTTATTCAAACTCATTCCCTGTGGAAGCTGAAGGAAAGTGCAGTGGAAGAATAATGCACTCAAATCCTTACTCAGTTTGGCTTCAATAGCTACACATGACCCGTTGAAACAATTCATTTGTCACGTGAATGTTTTCCATCCTGCTACACACAGCAAACCCCTTTGAATTAATGTTGTAGATGCCTGCATGGAAACCCTCTCTGAATGTGTTACTTCAGATATTGAAGTACAGTGCCTACTGTTTGGCAAAATGATGTTGCTCAGAGCCGAGATCTTTTTTCTGCAAATAACATAATAGTAGGACTAGGAAGTGAGAAGGTAGTACTGTCTCAAGCTGATGAAAGCCACTGTTTAACCAGGTGCCCTGACAGCTTCTCTTTGCTTGTCAGTCCATCTCACTGGAACTACAGTCACTCTTCTGTCCCCTAGCCTTGGGACATTTCCCCTCTATCCTTTAGTTTTCCTGTTAACGTGGTTGAAACTTTGTACATTAGGAGTGGAGGTGGAATCTGATTCTCTTGGTTTTTATTGACTTGGTTTTCTTGTCCTGAATCTGAGTTTTATCTAGATCTGCAGGACTGAAAGCTTCTCTGATGCAATAATAGGCATGAGTATACAGCTGCTGTGCTTATGGATTCAATTGTAGCATTTGTGTTTCTAGATGATCCTAAATTCAGGTGATGTACTATTCCTTCACTTCTAAGTTGTAGGTGAACCTTTCTTGTGGAATGTAACCTCCAAAAGACCCTGTATGTACAAATTCATAGAAAATTCCCTTCTCTTCAGGCAATGCAGGAACTAATCTACACATTTGCTACAGAATCTGTTATTGTTTTGGTACTTACCAAGAGATGTGCAGGTAACTGCTGTCACAGAAACACTACAGGTCCTGACCTAAATAAATATTTTTGGTACTCTGGCAGAAAAGAATTGGATTACCTAGAAGTTCTTCCTGTTGCAGAATGTTTTCAGATCTGCTCCCAAGTCTGTCAGAGACCATCTGTGCAACAGAACAACACATTTGTTCCTTCAGGAGTCTTTTTTGGTAGGCTGGTGTGTAACTCCTCTCTGCAATTCCAGATAAACGTGGAGAAAAAGAATCCATCACTGCTGGGGTAGGTTTAAATTGCAGGATGTAGTCCAGCTCAGATGGAATGTTGCCTAAGTAGGAGCCAGAGGAGAACAGTAGTGTGTCGAATAAAGGGTATCATAGAGATGGGATGCTGCCCTGTTGCTGGGGGAAATGAGCTTCAGTATGTGGTGATGAAAGCTGTTAGGAGGACTTAGGCTCTTCTGTCCCCTCTGCCTCCTGTCTCTCAGCCATTATTCTGTTCTGCTCACCTCTTGCACGTTCCTGACGTTTCTTAGATGGATTTGACGAGAACTTCTGCCCCGAATCACAGGTTGTCTCAAAGTTAACCTTTGTTTTGATGTGGTTCCCAGACAGTCATCTCACCAAAGCAGACTTCTTTTTTTGACATTTCGGTTTAGAAAACTGCCAGTTCTATGCCAGCACTGTTAACTGTCTTTTTCTTCCAGTTCTAAGGCTGTCTACCAATGCTGGTCAGTGGAAAGAGCCTGCAAGCAAGGTGACCCATGCATTAGTCAACATTAGGTAAGGAGTAGGAGTTAATAACCATTTGAGAGATTCTTGTGTCCTATATGACTGCATTCTTATTATGACACTTTAACATTTGTTGTATTGAATTTGATTTTGAATTTGTTCTCTTTGTTGGGCTAAATTGCTGCTCTGAACAGGGCCCACTGGGATAAAGAGAGGATCACCAGGGTTTGATTGTCCCCTCTCTAATAATTCTTTCAGCTCTTCTGTGGACTGAGTGCTTTCAAAGTATGGCACAAGCTGTAATGAATTAATCCTCACAGTGTTCTTGGGAAAAGTTATACAGTAGGGGACAATGCTGTGCTGGCACAGCAGTTGTGGACCTAATGTATTTCTGTTGCATGATTCTGTTGCAGTTCTATGGAGGGGACTCCAAGCCAGCTGTAATAAGCAGATGCAAGGCCTCTTTTAACATTGCAAGATTTTTGTGTGTCTTTAAAACTGATTATTTAAGGGCATTTTGGTATTCTTTTAAACCTTCTCCTACAGTTCAAGGGCAGAAGTTATGCTCTACTTTAAGGCAAAGGAATATCTAGGGGTGCTTTTGTGCTCCATGCCTTCACAACAGCAATAATTTATTTTCCTGGCTTCTGAAGCAGATAGTACTGACCAAGCTGGGTACTGGGCAAGAGGCTCATGGGTCTGATTGATTGGAAAACAGAGGAATGTTGACAGAGAAAATGCAGTGCTTATCCTTGTAAACAAAACATAAAAGATATAAGTATTTATCCTGAAAAAATACCTGTCTGTCGCTTCCCTGGTCACCCCACACTCTAATGTCTATGTGACACCAAGTAGCTCAGTACATTGCTACTACTTGTCGTTTTCCTCTCTAGAAAAAGACTGTGTAGGACAAACTCTCTGAGGATATCCTTCAAGTCAATATACATTTTACTCGTCTATAAACCACCTTAAAGGTTCCCTTAGTGTCTGTAAGCTTAATAACTTCAGGTATGGTTCTAGAAGATTTATTTTGCTACTATCCTTTTTTTTTTTTTTTTTTTTTTTTTTTATAAATAGAAACAAATGAATACTTGTGGTCAGCTAATGCATTCACAGTAAAACAGAACAGATAGCTGCTGGCAAATTAGTGTCACTTAATGTGACACAAAGTGTCTGCCCTGGCAGTTCTCTGTATACCCAGAGAGAGAAGTCTAAACTGAGAGGAGATAAAAAAAAGCAAGTGATCACAGAGGGTTTGTGCTCACCTTGGGTTTGTGCAACCAAGATTTTGCATTGGCTCATTTCCTGTTGGCTTAACAGCTGCTTTTCTAAAGATCAGCACACAGCGGAAACAAGATGCAACCAAAAGACTGGCACTGTGATACCCCTCCCTGGACAGCCTGTATCAGATGTGTTGAGTGCATGGTGCTGTCTGCAGCCAGGGAAGCCTCTAACATATTTCTGTTCTCGACTTTTGGTAGCTTTCCCCTACATCACCCAGCTGCTCTTGTATGTTGAGATTTAATGTGGTCTTTCACCAGCCTTAGAAGTTTTCATGACTGATGGCTTTTCATTCATCGAAATTAAAAAAGATCTAAGAGATGATTCAGGGCCTTGAGAGGAATTAGAATTCAGAAAAGTTAGTCTGATTTACCCATATCCTCCCTCCATTCCCTCCCTCTCAAAAAGAGAAGGGGAGGGGTAAGGTGTTTCGTCTACCAGTTTTTCTTCTCATGGTAAAAATACTATGTTTGAAGGGTGCTTTAAATGAATAGGTTTCAGAGCAGCCAGTTGTTGGAAGCTGGAGAAATCCCAAGGTACTGTGCTTTTGTGAAGGTAATTGACAGTGTGATGTTTCAAAGTGTTGACTAGGACTAGATGCCTGGTTTTTGTGAGAACGTGCTTTCTGAAGTTGCAAACAACGCGTCTTTGTACAGGGAAAATGGATTAAATGAAGGGTCTGTGATGATGTAATACTCCATTTTGACCTAAAGACTGAATTTAGGTGTCTGAAAGTTGCAGCAGAAGGACAAGAGGATAATTCTTCAAGGAATGCCTCAAGCCTTGCAAGGTCTGAAGTTTTCTGCAGTTTGTTCAGAAATAAATGTTTTATCTTGGCCTGCTGGCTGCCTCACTTTTGTGGCAATGTGTAGAAGGACTTAATACTAGGGCCATGTGTTTTCTTCTGATGTTGGACCAGGAGTACAAACTGAAGCCTTGAGCACGCACACACACTTCTGGTTCTTTGTTGCCAAGAGTCATGGAGATGTTGCAGGTCCAAATTAGCAAAGAGAAAGGGGAGAAAGAATGCTGGAGAAGAATAAACTGTTTAGCACTGTCAGGCCAGTAGCTTTTTTAGAGAAACACAGTGTTAATGAATGACAATGTTATCATAAGCTGTAATTGTTTTATGCATTGTTAAGCACATGCTGGTTTGAAACCTGGCTTAGCTCTCCATTGTCTGGATTGCCTGTTTGTATATGCCCCTTTGGTTTCTTCCTGGAGTGGGCTTAGTGCACTGTTTCTGATCTGGATGCCTTTGCCAGGAAGGGAATGAATTTAGAGAAAACCACCTCACACTGGATTTTTCTCTTGGCTTCTGCCATCATTCTGGAAAGTTTTTTGAGCAATGATTACTTGCTTTTTGCTGTAGCAGTGCAGTGCAAAGTCATGCTTTGGTGACTTTTTTTATGTCTTCATCTCATTACAGCAGCTATTCAAAAACAGATAAATAAAACCTGTCGTTTCCTTATCCTAAGGCTTTTGGTGGGAAAGTTTACAAACGTGAAAACATTTTTGTGTGCATGCATGTGATGGGCTTTAACGAGCATCTTAAATCCTAGTGTACAATCTGATGTGTATTTTTGCCAGGAGAGTGTTTCACAAGTTTACAGCTTTTCAAGGCTGCAACGCATTTGTGTTACAGGAGTAGCTGTTGGGGAGACATAGAAAACAGTCTTGCTTGTACCTAACAGTGTTGGATTGATGAGGTCATCTGATTAATTGCTTTAATACAGAATCGGGTTGAATAATGCCTGGAGAATCTTTGACACATTCTTGTTTAAACTGAACTGCAGGGAGAGATCCCGCTTGTATTCTACTATGGCATTAACGGTACTTTTTAGTTGGACCCTATTCTCCACTGAGCAGTCTGACTGGGTTTAGCTTGCTGATTATCTGATTTTTCTAGTCCTTACTCCTTTTAAAAGAGAAGTCACCAATGTTTTTTGTGAATATTGAGAGATGAGGAGGCTATTCCTACCTTCCTTCCCTACCTCTCCTTTTGACAGACAATAATTTCTGTCCAACCTAAAGAAAACGACAATTTGAGGATGACAGAATAACAACAGCCTTATCTGACTGAAATCTTACATACCATCATGGATGAGTGATCTCTGTTTCGGTGCTATCCCATAACAGTGATTATAACTTCTATCTGTGGATTTGTCTCTGTGGTTTACATAAATAATTGAGATGTGACTGACTGCAAGATAGAGCTGCAGCACTGATGGGGTTGAAATAAGAAGCTGCAGCAGTTCATGGTTTGAAAACTCACCTTCTCACCTATGAGGAAATAAGCACATTTTGAGACATGTAATTTTTTTTTAAGCTAATGAGCCTCTTTAAGGTAACATTGTGTAGGTTTGCATTTAATGAGAATTTTATTAATGCAGGGTTCAAAGGGGCATCTTCTGGTTGCTTACTCAGTGAGGAAGGTGGCAGCTGAATCTCTGCATTCTTTTAATAGACTTTCTCCTGATCAGGAATTTTTCAAGGTGAATAAATAGATTAACTCAACGACTAATAGGCTAAATTTCCCCATTGTATGAAATTCAGTCCCATCATCATAATTCTTAAAGTTGTTTGTTTTTTTTTTTTTCTCTCGTTGAAAGGCTTTTAACAAGCAGAGAGTAAGTTTGTAGTATGGAACTAGGTGATATCCTTGTTGGTTTATTTTTAAAGCATGTTTTATGTGCTCTTGTAGCATATGCTGCAGTCCTCACTTGGGTGCTTTAATTCACTCTTCCATCTTGCAGCTACTTTTGTTCCACATGAGCCACCTTGTGTAATATTCTTTTTTTTGTACAGGAGATGCCGCTTCTCCCAAGGCTGCTTTCGGGGCCATAAAAGAGAGACTGGGGATTAGGGAGGAGTGTTTAAAGCATCACATGGATGAGTATGAAATGGTTATGCTTGCTGCCAGTCTGGGCAGGAGCACTCTGAAGGGACATTTACTATTTTACTCAGGTGAAAGAAGGCCAAATTGGGCTGTGCTTGTCGCATGATACCTGGCATCCCTGCTCTGAAGCCATAGCTTATGTTAAATTACCAGCAGAACTGCACTTATTTAAAACCTTGACAGAAAAGGAGGTTCCACTCAGATATTTGTTAGAAAGTGGGTGGCTGCAAACAGTCTGCATAGCACCTTCAGCATTGTTCTGCTTTACAACAAGGAATTTAGCATCTGTTCATGGGGAGAGAAGAGCTAAATCCTGCTGATCTAGTCATATGCAGTGGATGGCTGTAGCATTTATGCAGGGTACATGAAAGGAGACCTGCTGATAGGTAAGTACTTCTGTGTAGAGTGGAGGCCTATGGATTACAGTCTGCTGGGACTCTGTGTGTGTGTGTGTGTATATATATATATTTACACACACTTCCCTCCTTCCTTCTCCCTCTTTTTATGGACTTAATGGATGGACACACACACATTTCTTGCCAATGCAAGTAAAAGAATAATGAGGAAGGGAGGGCAACCTTAAGGCCTGTATATGAAAATAAATGGTCAAGAAAATCTATCTGCATGTATATATACAAAATATGTATATCAATGTGTATAATGTATATGCACATATATGAACGTGTATCCAAATATGGATATTTGAATATATAAAAATACATATATTCACACACATGCATATACTTCCAGATATTTATATTTATATAAAATACACACACAAGCATCTTGCCTTTGACAGTGGGATAAGCTAAAGCCATAACTTCCAAGCTGAAAAAACAAAGCTACTTGCTTATTTCCAGTTTCTCTGAGA